CCTTGATATGCCTTGAGATGGCACCAAGGAATGATGGTTCTTTATATTTTTCCTTCTGAGGATGAAAACATCAGCCAATTAATCTTCACAATACCCACACAATATAAAACACATTAAAAGCATTAAAAGGTTCAAATGATTTGGATCATATCAATAAGTATTTCATTTTATTTTCACAAGAATTACAAGAAACATTACCTTAATAAAAAACCCACATTATATTAAAAAAAAATATTTCTATACATATTGCATCAATGTTCCTTAATCTTTATTTTTACTCAGAGATAATTCAGAAAACTAGTTTCTAATTCCCTAAGCTGTTAAATAGGTCCTTTCAACATAAGCAAAACCATAATGGTTAAAACAATATTTACTTAACCAAGTAAGGTATTATGTGGTAAGGCAGCGTAGCAAAAGATGGTTAAGTAGACCTAAACAGCTCTTCTGAACCTAGAGCTGCAAGCTCAGTTTCCAAATCAGTTCATGAAATTCAGTTCAGAGTTCAGAAATGCTCTCAAGAAATAAAGATAGGTAGCATGGCATCTTAACCAACTCATCTCCTGACAAGACAGAACGTGAATCCGATTAAGGCTCAAAGTTTTCGGACAACTGGAACTGAGGTCTTCAAAAAAAATCCCAGCTGCAAATTACCAAAACCATAAGAAATTCCAAACCATGTTCTCAGCTTCTGAATTCAGAACACTGTCTCATGTTTCTCCTGTCATAGTTTTCACATTTTATGGATTTTAGGCAGAAAGTCTCAGACCAAATGAGTTTGGACTTATTAGTTGTATGACAGCTCCCATACAACAGAGGACAAATAATCAAGACTGGGTAACTAAGAGTTTCTTAGAGCAAGGAATGCTGTATTTCTTCTCATATCTTCCTAGCTTTATACATGCAGAAAGAAGATGCTAGATAACCAGGATGAAAGAGCTGCCAATCATCCAAACCAAAATATTTGAGAAATCAAGACAATTAAAACAAACAGTCAAGTCCTGAAGCTGTCATAACCATATGCCATATCTAAGGCTAGAGACAGCCTGCACATGACAGCACATGTGACTAGCCTCAGATATGATAGCAGTTGACTGAAACATAATTAGATACTGCCAATGAAAGCATGACTTAAAAGGATGGACTCAGTTCTAAACACCTCATTTGATATAAGACAAAATTGCATATGAAAACATTTCATAGCCATACAAAATCAGCTCTTTTTATGTAATGGCATAGAAAAAAAAATAACAATTTTGCTAGGAAGTATGGATTTCTGAGGCATTCATCCTCAGGATCCCAGAAGACAGCTTAAGAGGCAGCCTGAAAAATGACTGCAATTCTACATAAAAGTTCTTCCTCTTTATCTGGCTTTATCTATCTCTGCAGAACTAAAGTCTTCCACAACCACAGCAGAAGCAGTGTCTTATCCACCCTTGCCCCTTCTCCAGGGTTCAGAGCACTGTTCTTACCATTAAACACATTTCACTCTCTGTCAACCTCAATGCAGGAACATTATTATTATTATATGCAGTGGAATCCCTTTGGGAAGCATTTAAAGATAAACCCAACAAAAATAAATGCCACTAGATTCATCCACTGCACATATAGTAGCCTCACCTGTGGTATGTTTTGAAATAGTTAACACTTTGTTTTCTAATAGATTCTTGCAAAACTTCAGACTTACTGCCACAAAATTCTTCTCCAACTTGCATCAGCCTATAAAAATAAAACAAAGTTTCTAAATATTTGTTGATTTATTAATACTGCTGTTCCAACCTGAATTACAAGCCTCAATCACTACCATGAGCGTACACATATCTCCACAAAAACAGAGCACTGAAGCTAAGTTGCAAACACTTCGCTCATTCCACAGAAGTCCACGTCTCATTCTTCTCCAAATCCTGTCATAATGTCCCATACACATAAAGACAAAGAGCTATAAGCAAAATAAACATGTTTTTGAGATCCCATTATGCAGGTCAAGCTGTACAGCTCAGTAGTACCATAGTATTTTACTGCTCTTGACTGAAAATCCCTTTAAAATCTCTTAGAAACATCAAAATTGTCAGATCTGCACATCTGAAATCTTAAAGATAGACAATACCAAAAATCATATCGCACTTAAGCACTACTTGAGCAGCAAAGAAATTTATACTACCTTTCCCAAATACATCCTCATAAACTCTCACATAAGGAAGAAGTGCTTTTCACATTATCAGGAGATAGGAACAAAGTCGGCATCAGAATGTAAATATCATCCTTAATTAACTGTGCTTGTCTTATCAGAGTTCAAGTTTGTGCATATGTATTAAGTGGTCTTATGACCACATCAGTAAATACCTGCTGATAACATCAAGTACGAATATGAAGTCATCATATTTGAAGTTGGACAGATCTGTTCCCAGAAGATATGTTTTCACTTTCAGTTGAACATCCTACAAGACACAAACAAGATTTTGTTTTTAATACACTACAGACAAAAAGGTGAAGGCTCAGATGCCTGGTTCATTAGCACTTTCTGGTTTGTTTGCACTTACAACTTTTTTGAGGTTTAGAGTAGAACTCCATTCTCTGTAACATGAATGATTTCTCATTGACTTTCTAAAATAGTATTATAATCAGTTTCTTTAACACTCTATAACAAGTTCAATCCTAGATGCTTTATTGTCACTGCAAAAACAGAGCTCTGGTGTGAAACCAAGCAGGTTCACAAGACTTCAGGTTCTCCATGGCTATGGTTATGCCAGAAACATAAAGCAGTGTAACTGTGCTAAAAGAGAAAAAGCACATGAGAAGAAAATAGATTGTGCGGCAGCACACTGGTTGGCAAAAAGTGGAATCAGGGTGAAAGTCATGTTAGGATGTTTTGGTACCTTGACTGAGTTTGTAAGCATAGCAATCAAGCAGTAACTGAGTCACGGAAATTTGAATTCCATGGTTTTGATACATGTAGTTCAAAACAAGTAACTTAAAAAAAATAACCAAACCAACCTTGGAGAGACTTTTTTTAAGAACATCAGTATAAATATAACTGTAATTAATACCAGGGAGTTAGGAAGAGGTGGTCAGGGAGATAATTTTTTTTTTTGGGGGGGGGGGATAAAAAAAAAAAACCACAAACCTGCCATATTCGTGAAAGCCCATGTTCCAATTTCTTTTTTACATAGCTGCGGTCAAAACTGTTCTCTTCAGTTCCAATCACACTGCTGCCATCTGAAACTGAAGGTGAAAGGTACTGTAGGTATTTCCAAAAGCCTTGAAATGTATCCTAGTATGCTACCCATAATGAAACTTCTGCCTTAGCCATTATCATATTATCCATTATGCAAACTCCAGGAGAGCTCTATCGCTCTAAACTTTTCAAAAGAAATTAATAAAGCACATATAAATATTACATGCTAATGTAGACCAGGAGAGCTTCCGATTGCTTTATGTAAGCAACATATTCCATTCAATAACAAAAAAAAAGAGTAGCAGATACTAATATTTCAAATACAAAAGAAAAAGTTGAATGCTGACGTGAGCGCTCTACAATAGGATTCTCTAAGATATTCTACCTTTGTAGACAAGAATCATGAATGTAAAAATTTCAGAAGCAAGATTTTTATATTTCTGCCCCAGTAAATTCTGACTGCAACTCTAAGGAAAAATACTGAGACTTCTGCTTTGAACTATGCAAACAATATAGCATGCTTTTTTCCCCACTCTTATTAATCTATGCTTATGCATGAAATACTGTCAATCATATAAGAGATGTCTTTCATTCTTCCAAATTATTTTATTTAATTCTAAAACATTCATTCCCACAGCACTGGATTACTTTCCAAAAAAGCACTTTAATGCATGGTAAACTTGTTCTGTATATGGTCCTCTCTCTCCCCATGGAGGAAATATATTTTATTTCCCTTTAAAAGAAGGTAATATTTTATACATAGTTTGTGAGCATGAAGTTGTGGTTACGCTTGCAGTCTCTGATGACACAGCATCATGCAGTTTGCTTCACAGCCTATGACTGACCACAGGAACGCTCTGCCTTAGCCAGACTGTACATACAAACTTTCGCCAGGATAAGAAAACTCTACTGACAAGGAGACAAACTATGCATATCCTTTAAAGCCCAAACCATTTAGCGATTTGACAAGAAAGATAAAAATTCACATAAAATATTACACTGGAATATTACAAAGCACAGAGCCCTCCCTCCACCCCATCATCCAAGAGGTTGCAAACACAGAAGAATTAAGATTGCCTGTAATGCCCCAGCATTGCTATGCAGCTCAGAGCTGTCTTCCCAACTCTTCTGCAATCTCCAGACAGTTTTCAGTACCTGAGAAGACTATTCACCTCCTCTTCCTGGCCCAGCTTCTCTCATCTCTCTACCTTCACTAACAGGCTTCCATCTCAAAGCCACTTCTTTTCCCTTACTCCTGATGCCAGCATTTCCTTTCAAAAACCTCCAACCAGCCCCAGGATATCATTTGGCACACACAACTCCTCCCTGCTGTGTAGGAGTCACAGGAACAGGCAGCACAAAGCCCAGATCCTGCAGGAACCTAGAGAGGGACATGGAGAAAACTAAAAAGAAAGAGGACATGTCTAACAGACTAGGGCATGTCTAACATCCTTGCCTTAGACTACATTCTTAAAAGATGGACTCTTTTCTAACCTGCTGGACTTCATGACCAGGTAGATACATCACTGCTACAATGCAGACAGGAAGGCAAAGGAAAGAGTAGGACATTTAACAGCTCCTCAATGACTCACAGTAGTGGCTTGGTCAGCCCTAACGTGTGAAGCACGTTATTTGAGGAGAAAAATAAAAATTCTTCCTAGCATCAACAAGGAATTCAGAAGTCATCCAAGGCCATGGACTGAACTGTCTCAGTGGGAATGTACGCAGCTTTCACCCAGCAAGACAACTCTAAGGCAGTGAAGTACATTCAGCTATTAAACTATGACACTACTGGTTTAGGTGCAGCTCTGGCAGCTTTTCATTCACGAGCTGATCTCATCAATGCAGGGACAGGATTTTACATGGTCATTCAAAACCGGCAAGAACAAAAGCGCCACCTGCATACTGAATCCCTTACAAGAGTGTTCCTCAGATGGTAACGTGCCACCAGGACCACACCAAGAGCTAATCCTGACCTTTGCAGTTCTTCATTACTAGGCTTCACATTTTTTTCCATAAAGTCTCCTGGATTCATTTCCCTTTCCTCAGAGAGAGTAGCAATTTTTCATGCCTAGTTTTGCTGTATACTGAAGAAGAGTCCAGAACCATAGAGAACCTACACCTGCTTTCCCTCTGCCAGAGCTAAGAAATTTTTTGTCAACTACCAAAGTGCTCTATGTCAAGCCTTGCCCTGAATTGAGACCTTGAAGTCTAGATGAATAACGTATGAATATTGTGAGCCTCCTACTAATGACCCCAGTAAGGAATGGGAGGCTGGATACAAGACTTTAATCAACCTTTTCAGATATATGCAGAACAGACCTCTGCAAGACAGCATATTTAGGAGTAGGAAGAAGAGAGTTGCTCACTGAACAAGAATGATAATGACTGGTATCAGACAGCGATAATTCAACTAAACTGAAGTACAAAAGAACACAGCAGAGCCTGACCATGTTCTGACGATGCCTTCTTCAGGTCATCCCATGCTCAATGTGAAGTGAACACAGTTTCCTTCTGTAACACTTACCAGTGCCTCATATCCCCAGTCCTAGGCTAGACTCTCTGTGAGTAGAAGAACATGGTATGCATCTTCCATCTCCCCATCAACCATCTGTTTTCTGCTTTGAACTTTTTCAGAGTATGTTTATCAGAATAAGAACTATTTGTATTTCCCATGTAAATTAAAAATATATTAAAATATAAATATATAACATATTAATAATAATAAATTAA